AGAAATGAAGGACTTCAACTAGTCTTCAACTTTTCTTTGCAAAACATAGAAAATAAAAGCCAGAAATCAACTAGAATGTCAAATAAAATAGAGCATGTTAGATGTCCATTATACCTGAAGTGACTCCTCAATATAGCTTTCTTTCACTTTATGCAAGTTAGATATTTCAACAACAATAGAGCTTCTGCTTGAATAACCCATCTTCCCATCTAATGTAATCTTTGCAACAGACTCAAGGACACCCTCATGGGAACTAGACCCAGACATGCTGGCAGCAAGACTGCTACTAGGAGAAGCAGATCCACCAGAAGCTCCACCAATGCTATTATCAAATAAAGGAACAATAAGCCAGGCGAAGGACTCTCTGTAAGGCATAATTCGAGACCACACCTGCAGTTTCTGCCTTTCTCTCTCAGTCAAGTGCACCTGTTAAGGAGAAGATAGAGAACAACAATAATTATAAGGAATTTATTTGAGATGCAGAGGGTAAAATGTGCATTTACGTTAGATATGATTACCATTAAGCAATAACAATAGTCAAAAACCATACAGCTACTAAAATAAATCAAAATTATATTTATTTTCCCCAAGCTTTCATCAACTCTAAAATATTAAGAGTGTCCTACGACAAACTTGATGTTCAGTTCAACATTAGTGGCTGAAGATCTACCCTCATATTCCAATAGCCAAAACTATGTTGTCTCACACATGCAACAATTCTCAACTGACATAGTTTAAATTATTTATAGACTTTCCTAATCATCTCTTCACTAAAATGAGAACACTTAGCATGCAATGTAACAATTTAAGTTCAAATGCACAACAGCTGCATCACCAGGTTTTTTTATTGCTTTGTTTTCTCATCTTTTAAAATGTCAACGTTCACCAAACTCCAGTCAATTAATATTTCTGAGAAATAAACATCCCTTCCTACTAGACGTACCAAAACATTGAATTCTAATCACCTATGAGAAACAATTTCATAATCAACTGATCCAAAACATTAGAGTAACAAAAGGATCAATGCAAGCAAAATAGAAGTCATTTATAATTTGTAAGGAAGCATAGATAAAAGAAAGTATGGTAATATGTAGCAGTAGGAGCATAGATGGATGAAAATCCACTGAAGAATTACTAATTTCACAATTATCTTACTGTAAGAGAAAGACCAAATGCTCCACCATCTCAGCTAATGGTTAATCACCCTGGCCCAAGAACTAAAACATCAAGCATTAATTGCAATGCCAATGATTAGCTAACTTATCTAGCAGATGCAGAGCCATTATTTTCCACAGTAAGAACTACAGTAAAAACCAATTGAAAGACAGATGATGAGGGGGTGATAGTTAATATTCTTGCCGCCAAATAACAAGCAAGCCAACAAGTAAAAATCTTGCTCCCAGGTAACAAGCAAGCCAACAAGAGAGAAATTTTGTCACATTTAATCCCAGGTCAGATTGAAGATGAACAAGATGGAAACAAATAAGTTCTTCATACATACAGGTTCTTTACATGAATAAACAGAAGGAGTCCCCTTTTTCTGTTGCAGGCTTCTCTAATTGGATTAGTAGACACACAGATGCTGACGGAGCATCTAAATAGAAAAGTCCACGAGTTTCTGAACATACTTTATTAGTCTGTCC